TTAAATTCGTTAAGCCACGCGGTGAATAATAACGTCAAATTAAATTTAGAGGCAATCGGTTTGTAAGTGCGCTCTCACAACCGGCGACCTGTCAAACTTCTTCCCCGCAGAAAAACTGACACAACTCCATTCGATGTTACCCGCTCTAAATAATAACTACAGTCATTGATTTAGCAAATAAACTAAAGCATATATCAATATATCCAATATATACTTACTTACTTCGCTGGCTCAGCGACCCGAAGTGGATCATCGCCTTCGGCACTAAGATGCGCCACTTTTCTGTCTACTGTGCCGCTTGTTGCCAATCGGCTATTTGAAACTCACACAGGTCTTGGACTTGGTCATTCCAGCGATATCTAGGACGTCCAACCGGTCTTCTACCAGTCTGTTGCCCAAGATATGCTCTCTTGACTTGCACCCATCCTCTCGATATTAGGCTCTTTTATCAAATCCTTGATCTCCAGATTTTTCCTCTTTCGCCAGGTTCTATCTTGTTCCCTAGTTGGTCCCAAAATAGTCCTTAAGAGTTTCCTCTCCGCCACTAAGAGCTTGTTCTCCTCCAATATCTAATATATACTTTAATGTGTTTTAAAATTTTAAATTCCCATTGCTAATTGAGATTCAACATGGGCATAATAAAATGACATTTCTTCCTGTAATACCATCTATTGATACAACTGCCGCATGAGCAGATTGCTTGTTTTTCCAACAAACTACAGACTCCTATAATACGGTACCAATGTTTGTTTTATATACCACACATTTAAGCAGCTTTGTTCTGTTTAATATTTGCTTTCATGTGTTAGTGTTTTGTGTTGTTAATGAAGTGTTAGTTTGGCGCTTCAGGTGTTATTGTGTTTTTATTTGACGCACTTGCGTGTTCGCGTGGGTTTAACAATGTTTTCTTGATGCCCACGTTTTATTTTTCTCTCATCCAACTGAAGTCCATTTTGTGTGAAACTTCTAATTCAATTATTTCATATGAGATTGCGTTGCGAGAGGCACTTTTTAAATATAAACCAGGATTGTATTCATGAATAAATATTTATTGCGTATTTTCAGTTCGAAGCCTAGATGTCCATTTGACAACAACGTTCTATTATTTATACAATTCTAAATATAAACTGATCCAGTCTGCTACATCCCTCCTCCTCACAACTGAAGGAGGGTCCTCACTGGAAGATAGTGCCCTACCTGTGATAGGCAAACTTACACACGTGATCAGCCTTTATCTAGCCTCGGAAGCCATTACCTTACCAACAAACAAAACTACCGAGGAGGCTATGGCTTTAATCTGCCAAAAACCTATCTAAAAGGACAGATTATGATCACACCCTAAGCAAACAATCTAAATAAATCTATTCATTACCTATCCTAGCTAAGCTCAATCCTACCAGAATCATAAAAAAGCAATATATCTCATTATAAAAACCACATTTCCAAATAAATAACAATCTTCATCGCGTATGCTGTGCTCTTGGGCTTGCGCAGAGGTACTTTACAATGAGTAACGACGATTATATCATAATTATAACTTTAAACGTGTATTTAATTTCGAAACTTTGTCCAGAACTACTAAGATGTCCGTTTGACATCAACCCTCTACTATTTTTACAATTCTAAATACAAACCTAAGCTTTCTGTACTACACTGTTAAGACGACTTCTCAGGCCTGAACATCCATCGGATGCTCACTGGGTTACATCAATATAGATCTCCCAGCTACCTTAGCCTTCGCCCTTGAGCTATCCACGTTCCATCAGATTTTCTTACTTAATTAGGAAAAATCAAAGAACACACAAATTATCCTAACGTAACGAGACGTAGTTTTTAAATATAAACCAGGATTGTATTCATGAATAAATATTTACTGCGTATTTTCAGTTCGAAGCCAGTTGTGGAGCTCTTAGGTGTCCATTTGACAACAACCTTCTATTATTTATACAATTCTAAATATAAACTGATCCAGCCTGCTACAGTACACATATAGATATCAACGTATATACATATATTTAAATTGAGCAAGGTACTGTCCACTGTTTGTGCATTACTTTTTTAAAGTTTTTATTTTTAAATCTTATTTTTAATAAGACCTTCAGGCCTACAATTGGGTGTCAATGTCGGTCTTGTGATGTCAATCCTTGTGGATTATTCTACTCTATTGTGTCGCCTCGTAGGGAGAGACAAGACCTCACTTACGAGTACAGAGTTTTAGCCCTCTTCGCCAACGGTTCATCCAACACGTTTAACTCCCCAATCTTCCAAATATTGTTTGAAATTGGCTTCTAATTGCCAAATAATGGCCACATTCCTTTTTCAAGTGTATAACCTATTGGAAACCACTGATAATTATAATTCCATTATCAATTGCAATTATGATAGTATTTGTTATTTTGATAAAATTTTGTTGCAATTGCAGTTGAGTCTCAATAGCGTGTCAGAGATGGCACTCATTCATTCGTTCAATCGATCGATGTTACCTTAATAAAACTACCATGGAAATGACTATGTTTAATTTTTATCTCGTTTAAAATCAGTAATAAAGTACCAGAGTTTGGTCAATAGTAAATCAATGGCACGAAGCCATCGAAAGAAACGCCAAATAATTAGTAGACTACGTCATCGACTCGACGTTGAAGAGCTGAATACCAAAGAATTGCAATTGTGCTCTACCGTCATCATGGGAAAATAGAGATGAATATGCTATAGGCGAAAAACATGACGCGCCGCGTCGCTTCGGATTCTGCGCCAGTGTGAGTTGAGTCTTACTGTTCATTCGGTCAGACTTTGGAATGCACTTCACATTATCTACATCAGGGCTCATTGAAAACCAGCGCCACAGTCAATTGCGGCGGTGGCATAAGCTGAATGAAGTCCTTTTGCATACGCCACAACCGCACACATGACAGTACAACATTTGTAGTTGTTATATTTAGTATTTTTTCTGTTTTGCTCTTTTTTTGTTATTGTCTTATTTCATTTTATTTTAATTTTGTTTATTACGTCTTTTTGTTTTGTTTTGCTTGTCTAAGTAGTATCAATTTTTTTTTTGTATCTACGTGTTGTGGCGTTGCAATAAACGTCTATTCTATTCTATTCTATTCTATTCTATTCATTACTGTTCATAATAGTAAATCCTTAACTTTCGTTAAAATGAGGGCCAAGGATCACTATTTATCCTCGGATATGGATGGAACCATTTTATAGATATTATAATACGAAATATGTATTTATATACGTATTTACATAGTCTGTAGTAATTTAATATTTTTGGTATAGTTTTTTTTATTATTATTTTATTACATAATTTAATTTTGTTTTGTTGTACGCATAAACCCGTTATTATAATTATTTTGTCCTGTATTTTAGTCTGCAACCTTTTGTTTGTATTTTCCGTTTTACTAAATGTGATTTACGTTTTCTTGTACAATAAATTATTAAATAAATGATCTTGGGCCCCTGGAGGGTACATCGTACAATTTTCGCGCACACAAGCGCAAAAACAGTCACAAATACCACCAAAAATGTATCTGACACGTGTTTCGCCTCTACGAGGCATCCTCAGAGGTTGTTGATCGTTCGGTGCAGCTGCTTCGGAAGATATATTCAACACGAGCGCACGATTTAACCTTCAACGGGTTCACGGACTAGCAAACTAATTTACTTCTATTTTTATTAACAATGATTCTTGCAAAATAACGCCTGGATCCATTGACTTACAATTATATGGACGTCGGGTCCGCGCTAAAAAGTGTCCGAACTTATAGGGCGTTAAAATCGTATACAGAGCGTTATTCACGCGTTAGTCTTCGTTTGTTCGACTGACAGCGAAGCAAGCAAAATTAGACAGTACTGCGATGACATTACAATTTAAATTTAACGTTTTAGCTTTTTCATATTCCTTAACATGTCACTACGTTTAAATAGGTTGACTTGGGACATTTTTTTCGTGGTTTTTGTATTAGACCCGTCGTCGTATTTGTAAGTCAATGCCTGGATCTTTTAACTTTGGTAGTAGTAGTAGAGCTCCTTGTGAAAGAGTTCCTCCAGGCTATTACTGGTAGGATCCTGCGCGGAGATTCTGATTGCCCTGAATTAGTGGCGCAACTGGTGCGCTTGTTTGTCCCCCCGCTAAACAAATTCAATCTGCGTCCACGTGGTCACCATCTTCTGGCAGAGCCGGCATTGCGCACTGTGGCACACAGTAAATCGCCACTAGTTCGCGCTCTGCACTATTTTAATGCGCTTCTCGTATCTGCACCAGAATGTGATGTGTTCGCAAGTAGATGGGTGACTGTGCGTGATGAATGTTTGAAGTTTTGTGAGATGATGGATGAACGACTATCATCTACGATCTAAAAATAATTTTATGTTGTATGAATTTCACAGTGCCTTAGTAATTTACTGTTATACTGTGTAATTTTATGAAATAAATAAATTACTTTTTTTAATTATTCCACCCTTAGGGGTGGAATTACCTATTTCTGCCGCCAAGCAGTAATGTGAGCGTTACTGTGTTCCGGTTTTGAAGGGTAAGTGTGCTGGTGGAATTACTGGCACATGGGGCTAGTCTCTGGGTGAAGGGAGCAGTGTCAATGTCCCTCTAATCTTTGCGAATTAAAGCTCTAATTGGCATATATTATGGACAGGAGTGTCGCTTACCACCAGGCGCACGTCTTGTTCGTCCCGTCACTTAGAATATAAAAAAACCGGCCTCAAAACTTTGTGGAATTACATCTATTTGCCAAGTTTTGAAATTGGTTACCGGAAAGTGCGCGAAACCGGATTCATCCCCTAGCTAGCCACCCTTAGGGGTGGAATTAGTACCACTAATGAGGTACTCTTTCCAACAAAAAAGAATCAACAAAATCGGTTCACAATGCCGGAGTTATCGCGTAACCTATGTACATACAAACAAAAAAAAATGCAGTCGGTTAAAAAAATCATATTCTGATTACGTTACACACTTTGTAATCAACTATACTTTTGGTTCACAGCGGAACCACCTCCCCTGGTCAACGTGACAGTGCATGCGTCCACAATACTTGCACTGATCCTGTGGAACGTTGCTGGAGACGGCGGGCACCCGATCATCGACTTCACTGCGCAGTACCGATCTGCCACTCCTATCAACGGGTCTCTGGAGCCTTGGCGGGCGATTAGCCCGAATCACATCAGTCCTAACTCGGTAATACCACAAATACTGCTGAAGACTGTGGCGTGTTTATAAAGTGATGATTTGGTTGATGATGAAAGATGAAGAACGTATTTTGTGATTTTACAAAAGTTTAATGAGACACAATATCACAAAAGATTATGTGCGTACTATTGGCGACCGTTGAACCGAGTGTTCATTATCCGCTCACGCGATACATGCAGCCGTAGACGCATACCACACCTAGAGGTGCCGGTGATGATTTTATATCGATTTATCTTATCTTATATTGTATTTAAACTGAATGCTTTTCTAATTTGCGAAACCAAACAGCCGCGATCTTGCGGTAATAGGAGCGCATCGCGTGAGCGGATAAACCATTTTTATAAAAAAAATTGATTACCAGTTTGTGAAATTAAATCTATTTACAAAATTTTATTGAAAACTGTTAACGGAAAGTGGTTGAAATCCAATAAACCTGATCCAATATCCCCTAATTTGCTACGCTTAGAGGTGGAATATTTTCTTTATACTGAGGTACCCTCTTTCCTATAAAAAAGGTCATCAATATCGTTTTACAAATGCCGGAGTAAACACGTAACATACAAACACAAAAAATACAATCGAATTATGAACCCCCCTTTTTTGAAGTCGGCTAAAAATTGTGACGGAGCGCTCATTAGGACGCCCGTCCTCCGCGTCTGTGCCTCACCCTTCGGTGGCCTGGTGGCTGGTGATGCTGGATTCTCGACTTTTAAAACACTAATGTTTCTTGTAATATTTATAATTTTTTATAGTACCTTTGCATACTCCGAAGGTATGGAATTAGGGCTTGCAGAACCGCACCATGAATTTGGTTGCCTCTCCCGATCGGAATTTTTTTTTTCCAAATCGAGGCGCATTATTGCGATTCACAACTGCCGATCGGAGACTTTGACATTTCTAATCGGAACAATGGTTGATTTAACTCACAAATTAGAAAGATATAGTAGGAATCAGGTTCATCTTCTCGCTCAGAAACTCATCTGATTTCGAGACTACCCGGTCGGATCAATTCAGATTTGAATCGAAATCAGGCCTGGTCCGGTTCTTAAAATTGCGTTTCGCGGTGCTGGGCTCAACTCAGTACCGGTACTCTCGGTATTCCCGGTACTTCTTGAAAAGCTTAATCTGTAAGCAGTAAATATGCTCCTTCCGGGTTATCCGTACCTATTCAATAACTTACGTAATAACAATGAAGAAAAACTTAATTCCGTAATCAAACTAAAGGTTTTTGTTCAAAATATCCATTTGAAAGATAATTAATTACTATTAAACTTAACATAATATTGTAAAATCACATTATATTTAATTAATAAGTTTAAGTAGCATTATAATGGCAGTAACGTACGAAGTTGCCAACGAGCGATATCACTCATGCTCAGTAGGTAGGTAGGTAGTTTCTTGCTAAAACCGGCAGTACCGGGAATCTATAATCGCGGTACGGGGACTGATTGCACCTTGCCAGTACAGGCAATTCCCGGGAGCAAGCCCTATATGGAATATACTACCGGCAATTGCGTTTCCCGAATACAAATTTATTCAAGAATGGAGTAAATCAGCATTTTCTAAAGAAACATAACATGTCGTCTTATCGTCGCTTAATATCAGGTGGGATTATGGCCAAGCGTGTGTCTATACACATACTATACACAAAAAAATCGCTTTATTTTTTTTATCGCTTTGTTTATTCGCTTTTGTATACTTCAGTCGAGTGTAAAATGGGTTTTATGAACGAGTTTTACACTCTGCTTTTCACTTCGAAATTAAACAGCAATATTACAAATAAACGATTATTTTCTACACGTGACTCAGGTCGGACTACATAATGCTCTGTTATATTTTACAAGCTTTTATTTTTATGCATTTCTATTTCTTATAACTTATTATAATTACTATTGCCTATTTTTTTAATTTTGTAATATAACACGGATTAAAAAAATAAAAGTAAAACTTTATTTTATAAAGTTCTAGTGTGCGTGGATGTCGGCGCAGGCGTCATTGCCTCGGTCTTAAACGACGACATTATTTTATGCACTATAGCATAAAACCCTAGTTTAGCAGCCTACACGCAGCATAAATACGAACTTTAAGAGCATGAGAAGTGAAAATTACATTATGGGGAACTGTCTCACGTTTTTTTAATAAGATTCCAGAGCATATATTAAAATTATCATTTCCTAAGTTTAATACCTACATTAAAAATATTTAAATTGAAAAGTCATTGTTACAAAATTGAAGACTACGTGTTAAATAATAATGTATGGAAAAGCGATATGGGTCTAGATTCCACACAAATTTTATTCAAGTGTATTCCATAGCAATTAAATTTATTTGAAAATAGCTAATATATACCTAGAGTTTCTTGCTTGTTCTTCTCAGGGAAGTCAGCACAGTAGCAGTAGCTTAAAAAATTACGTTTTCAAGTGTAAATTTATTTTACTTATGGATTAATTGATTCTTAGACTTTCGACTTCAACACCCTTTTTCAGAAAATCAAATTCCAGATTGAAATTTCATTTTCTTGCGTGTTCCAGCGGCAAATCGACGTGTACCACCTGGATACAAACGCGTCTTACTCGTTTCGCGTATGGGCCACCAACGCGCTCGGTCCTGGCCCGCCGGTCGAGGTGGTCGCAACCACCCTCTACAGCGATCAGGATGCCGGTTAGTACTATACCCCTCAACAACACAAGAGCGTATCAACAAATGGATTGTGGAATAATCCTTAAAAACTTGATGGACCGACAACCGGGCAGATATATTTATATAATAAGTATTTACTTATTTACATTTTCTGTTGCTTTATGTCATTGTTTTTTGGCTATTGTTTGTTCGGTATTTATAATCCTAAATTACTCATCAAGTAAAGAAATGGTTAGTGAGTCTGAATTTTGAATTTGATTTCCCCCTACTCCTCAACAAAACTATTGGTTGAATGGATTACAAGTTTCTCAATATCCCTCTGTCATACTCATAATACCGCTCTGCCGTATAAAAGTTTAGTGATTTATTAATGGTATTTAAAATTCCTCAGTACCTCACTGCTAATCTGTGATTAGCATCTTTTTTTTTTCAGAGGTACCTACCTTTCTATCACAATCACAAAAGGGAGTTTTAGTCTGTTACACTCGCAGTACCACTCTATCGCAAAGTACGAGTAGGTCGGTGATATTTTTAATACAATTAAAAACTTCTCAGTACATCTCTTTTAATCACAGTAAGGAATACGTCTACAGTCAAATACAGAGTTTCACTTTGTCACAAAATGGTTTGATCAAATAAGAAATAATTATAAATAAAGAGTTGTATATCTTCAACAGAGCTGTACAAGCATTTCCTAGAAGGCGCAGAGACATTCGACACACGCACGTGGCTGGCAGCCGTGTGCGTAGTGATGGGCACACTGTGCGTGCTGGCCGCGGGGACCTGTGCCGTGCTGTGTCGCGAGTGGCGGCGCTCCGGTGAGCCTGTGCCATAGCGATATCCCCTCCCTAGGCTGTACTTTATGTGGTATTGATTAAGCACTCAATCACTCTTAAGTGTTAGAGTGGGTTCTTAAGATCGAATTTCACGTAGCTAGAAACCGAAAATCCACAGTGAAGGCTATTGTACCATTTGACACGTGATCGTATCATACCATTGACTTACAAATAAATGGACGACGGGTCTAATACAAAAACCACGAAAAAAATGTCCCAAGTCAACCTATTCGAAATTTAAATTGTTATGTCATCGCAGTATCGCGCTGTCCGTAGAACAAATGAAGACTAAAGCGGAGTGTCGCGCTCTGTATACGATTTTAGCGCCTTACAAGTGCGGACACTTTTTAGCGCGGACCCGACGTCCATATAATTGTAAGTCAATGTATCATACTCTGAATAATAAAGTGCCATAATGTAAAAAGTAACATAACGAAATAAATTAAAAAATAACGTACTAAATAAAAGTAATAATATAACTATTTTATAGTATCACATACGACCTCGCTTATTCGTGATCTCGGTGGCCCAACGGCTTATACCGTAGACGCTGGATGAGGAGGTCCCGGTGGACCAATTTGGGAAATGAACTTTTCTAAATTGGTTCAGGGTCTGGGAAGGTCAGATATGTTCTGGGAAGTGCCCTAGAGTGAATTCCATTGCTCTGGTACTCAGAGTACAGGGAATCCCCTAGTTTGAAACTAGGCAATTGGTGTGGTTGTCTGGCACATTATTATTATTATATTGTTACTTTCCCAAAAATTTACTTTTCGACTTACGTCAGTTTATTATTGAGGAGGCGATATGATTATGATACCATCGGTCAAGGGTTCATAGAACATGATTCTCGTCGGCTTACCTAACCGATTGATTATTCAAATTTGTCTCATCGGCAAATATCTTACATTGCAGTATTTGCTGTGGACCTTGTATATCGGCGTACTTTCAAATATAAACCCTATGCCAATGGTATTAAGAGATATGATCTTAGTTCTACGAGTGTTCTTTTTTATTAAACAGAAACATATAGTTTAACCGACTAAGCATTCCTATCTTTACAACATATCAACCTTTCGTTGCTTGAATTTTGGAGACCTACATTTGTTTTTAACTGGCACTTCTAATATAATGTTTATTTCATTACTATTGGTTCGTTTTTTTCAACAAATTCGTGAGCATTGTTGTATGCGAGTCATTTTGAGGTTAATTTTTTCTACCTGTTTTTGGTGTCAATTTTTATTATTAAGTACTCGAGTATATTATCATATAATCTCAGTACAGAGTACTAAAAAAACCGACCTCAAAAGTACGTGGAATTACGTCTATTTGCTAAGTTTTATTGAAATATCCCCTAGTTCGCCACTATACAGGACTTGACACTGGAGATAATAAAAATCGGTTCTCACTACTCAAAGTATGTTGAGAGAAAAACGCCTTGAATTGGAGAAATAGCAAAATCAACCATTAAAGTAATTGCTCCTAAATTAAGGCGTTATTGTTAGGCGCTATTTATGAAAATGAATCTTCATGCGTGAACAGCCACCCTTCGAGGTGGATGATTTTCTTCAAAATGAAATGGGACCACTATGGAAGTACCCCCTTACCAACAAAAAAAGAATCATGAAAATCGGTTCACAAATAGCGGAGTTATCGCGTAACATACATACAAAAAAAAAGAAAGAAAAAGAACATACAGTCGAATTGAGAACCTCCTCCTTTTTTGAAATAGTATTTCAGGATACTTGCACTCGGATATTCAACAATAGCTCATGATAATATTCTCGAATATTCAAATAATAAAAATTGCCACCGAAATTAGGTACTTAAAGAAAACTAATCTGAAAATTACCAGGAAAGAAATTGAGTGTCGTGAGGAAAGCCTCCTTTTGTGTACCTCAATGGCCAGTTGAAAAATTTATCTGAATTTTTTTATGTAAAAAAAAACTAAGTACTTTTATCTCACATGTCAAATTTTCTAACAAATGTTGGTTGTGTTTAAACATAGCAATGCTGTATTATAAGTTTCGTGTTAAGTTAGAATTACTATATTATGTGATATTATGAGCCTAAATCCAAACGTAAAAAGCTCCTATCTTCGCTTAACAAACAACACCGCACAAGTCAATGGCGGTATGGCGGTGTTTACTTTAGAATAAAACCCAAAACGTAAATATCGTTAAAAATTTTATAACCAACATACGAACAATTTATTTATTATCCATTAGTAGAAGTTAAAAAGAACTGCCACCCTACCTATTTCTGCCTCCAAGCAGTAATGTAAGATACATTATTTCGCTAAAAATATCGTTTACATTAGTTATGGTAAGGTGGGCAAAATAATAACAATGTAGTTTTTTCGCTCCCTTTTAACATTAATCCAAACGACGTAAGCGGCATAGTTTGCTAAGCGATATATAATAATTGTTATTATCATTTTTGATATATTGTAATAACAATTATTCCTCTTTAAAATGCAATCGGTATATCATTAATTGAAAAATATTCGATCTAATCAAACTACTTAATCAATACCACTCATTAAAGTTACCTACGTTAAAAAATAAATAGTCATTATTTACTTAATAACAATAGTGAAGGTAGACTCTTCCATTAAACAATTAAGTATTAATTAAGAAAAACTTCACTGTGATCAAGCGATACTTTAGTATTCGTATTGAATAATCGTTAGGAATTGAATCGATATTTTATGTCGATTGTAGTGAGGTTGCAATTAATAAATTTCTGTTTACGAAAAGTCAACTGGAGCTAATGTATTTTTGGTGCAAATTCGATTAACACAAGAAAATGTATCGTCTAGAACCATTGACTTACAAATAAATGGACGACGGGTCTAATACAAAAATCACGAAAAAAATGTCCCAAGTCAACCTATTTAAACGTAGTGACATGTAAAGGAATATGAAAAAGCTAATACGTTGAATTCAAATTGTAATGTCATCGCAGTACTGTCTAATTTTGCTTGCTTCGCTGTCAGTCGAACAAACGAAGACTAAAGCGTGAATGACGCTCTGTATACGATTTTAACGCCCTATAAGTTCGGACACTTTTTAGCGCGGACCCGACGTCCATATAATTGTAAGTCAATGTCTAGAACCAATTAATTCCTTCCGCTTTTGAAATTTCGAATTTTAAAATTTCGTGAGTCTCTTTTCGACTAAAAATAATAATTAAAAAAAGAATCATAGAGCGGATAACAAATCGTTCAGAAATTTTGTTATTATATCTGCCCCGTATAACACAGTCGCATCAGTTGGCGATAATTTAATTTCCAAGTATACAAACCTAGGTATTAAGAATAAGCCGATAAGTTTTAGTTAATAAGAGGAAGCAAGAAGTACAATTAGTATACGATAATTCGAAAAGCACTTTTTTAGGAATTTACTTCGTAGGCACAGCTTTATATTTATTACTCATCAGTCATCAGAATGAGAGAATCAGAATAGGCAGAGTGTATTATTTAACGAAACGTCAAGTAATACACCTAAAGTGGATAAGATCTCCCTCGGAAATTCGGTATTAATTAAAAATACAAGGGACAACATCAAAACCAAACAGTAACATTTTTACTTGCAATGTTACAAAAGTTATTGTTAAAATTACTCATAAAAAATATAGTACAAAATACAATACAATGATTTCAGGATTCCAGTGGGAGATATTATCGACTCTATGTATATTTCTTGAAGTTTAACTAAATATACTAAACCTATTTCAATCTCTGCTTATGACAAAAGAGTTTTTCTCTCACTATACAAATTTTGTGAATAAGAGGAGTTGTAAATACAAACGTCTGAAAATTATCGATCAATTGAACATTTATTTCCGAAGGTTCTATCGTCCGTTAAATGTTCCATTAAATTAAATGCTCAAATTTGGTAAAGGACAGTGTTATAGTTGAAGCTATATTCAATTGAAGATAGATGCTTACAGAACGTTTTTTGCAATACTATGTCTCAAATATAAACTAGCCATTATCAAATAACAAATCATAATTACTTTATTTGGTATGCAATACAATGAAAACAAATTACTAACTGAACAATAAAACGAACGTGTGAAGCAAATTCAAATTTGAAAAAGTGAAATTTTCTTTTTTTATGTCAGCGTGGAATGTGTAAAAATTTAACAAAGTTTTGTAATTAACGAAATCCTGAGCAAAAAAAATGACAAAAATCTAAAAATATACAAAAACTTGTTGCAGTTCTTTGTATTGGGTTAAAATCTGCTGGCTCGATTCGTAGCACAGTCGGCAGAGCGGTAGCCACGTTAAGGCGACAGTCGCTGGTTCAGTCGGACCGAAAGAATTTTTCTTCGTGCTTTTTCGATTTTAATATCATTAATCATCATGATCATTAATAATATTAAATTAGTGGAAGAATTTCGTAAAAAAAAAATGTAGATGAATATCGTAATAAAAACATTATGATATTTATTAAACGTTAAATGTAGCAAATAATGCACAATTTATACGAAACCAGCATTTCAGTATTGCTTGTTAAATACCCATTATTAACATTTTCATACGTTACGTACTTTAAATTCTCTGCGGACGTCCGGAAGGCCAACGGATACAAGTGGCTAGCTCTCTGGAACGTATAAAAAAGAGACTGCCACGCGGCACCCCTTATACCATCACATGCCGGTAATCCAGAGGCTAAAAAGTCGCCATAGCTTCATTAAAGAAGTATTCCTCTGGACGGGGAAACTAACCAAGTCCGAATAAGTCTAGAAGAGATACCCCACAGCATCATTCATTCCGCTGTCGAAGCATCCCTCCTGGACATGATCTGTGAAGAAGAAAATTGGTTAGTTTATTTTTGAGACACTCAACGTCAAAATAACACAAAAAAAGGTCCGTATTTATTAAAAGGAAACAAAGTGTTTTTCGAAAACAAAAAGTATTATTTATATTTATTTCATTTTTAACTCGTACAAAAAACATATAGTGCCAATATTCTTAAACATGTACAATTGAAGCAAAAACATCTTCCATTATATTTAATAACGTATTTCTAGAATAGCGTTTTATAAAAAAAAAACAAACTGTAAGAGTACAAAAATACAATAAAAAAAAATCTTTTTCACATAATTATATTTAAAATCGCTTCAAGCTATTGGTGCTAAGCATTAATTAAAATTAGGCAACAGTAATAAATTATTTCAAAAAACAATTTTTTAACGCAAGTTACCATTTTGCTGTACGCGTATAATAATTTCTTATTATGAATTGTGAAGTTATAAATAAGCGGTATTATATTTTAATCATTTCTATGAGAAAATAGTTTTAAATCATTCTGCTCAAGTGTTACACTATAACTTGTTGGTTAACCGCGAGTATACTGGGTGTAATCGTTAAATGTGCCCGGGCGTTTATTCAGTAAATATAAAAGATATCGAAAACTGTTGCACTGATATCGAAAGCACGTTACCTTATGAGCAAAACGACATCAATAACTTTTTTCAAATAAAACCACAAATATACAAAATGTTAACGTTAATCGCTCCCATACATTTAATAACATTCGAAGAGAGGCTTTAGTTTTCCTGCTTCAAATAACCGCTTGAATACAAAATTTTGTATTCAAGCGACTTTTTATTCGATTAAAATATAGTTTCATTACTTTATTTACAGCAGTTTCGTTATCTGTAAACTTATTGTGATATTTGAAAGTAGTTCAACTAAAGTCTCTCTCCCAATGTCATATTAAATGTATGGGATTGGGAGCGTTTAACGTTGAAATTTAGAATATTACCAGTTTTATTTTTTAAAAGTTATTGTCCCTTTACTCATTAGGTCACGTATTTTCAATATCAGTTTAAAGGTTATTGATATCTTTTACATTTAGGGAATTATCGCCTGGGTACACTTAACGATTACGCTCTGTATATCTGAAGGTAAATAACCTTAAATGAATATTTTGGAGTTCAGATGTTTAAACATTGCTGTAGAATGCAAAAATCACGCAAAATGGTAAAGGACTTTAAGTGTTATCGTCGTTGTCGTTTGTTTTTATTTAACCAATTTTATTTGATGTTAAAATTGATTTTAAACCATTATCTTTAAAACGCATTGAAATAAAATCTTAATCATTTGGTACTTAAAGTTCTTTACTTCTCACCTACAGGTATGTGTAAATAAAACGTTGCAATGCATCTTAATAGCGAAAAAATCATTCTTACTTTAATAAAATGATATTAGTATTAGTTAAAAATAATTCAGAAATGTTTGCTAGTTCTTGTAGTTACATGAGCCATTATAAAAATTAATCTAGCGGTTTTTTCTATTGAGTAAAGTAAATTTACCTTAGGTGATAAATAATATCTCGCAATTCCTAACCAACAAAAGTACGGTACGGACCAATTCTAACTACGGTACGTCAATTATAAATTAGATTTATAGTTATTAATATAAATGATTTTAGAATGTGTCGATTCTGCACAGCCACGCTTCTAAATTCGACAGATCAATAATATCTGGTTTTATGGCAATACCTTTAGAGGCATATTGGCGTTGCCAACTTGTCCACCATAACCAGAGATCGTATTGAGTAGACTCGTCTATTCTCCAGCTGTTATGAGCCGGAGTCTTATCTTGAAGTATGAATTTCGACACTAAAATATTTTTCTAAACTTAAATATAAAATTTCATATTTTTTATGTTGCTTTCCTCCTTCGATTGGCGTCATAAAACTTGTTGTTATTTTTTTCACATTTGGTCGGCTTGATCCTCAGGTAAGGCATGCAATTTTTAAAAGCCTGACTGCAGTATTACTTACTTTTAAAAATAAAATAACTTCTTCATGAAGCAAAATATCCTATTTACAATATTTAAAGTACTTTCCCTTCGTGTCGCATAGCCGTGGGGCACCCTGTATAAACATAAACTTTCATCTGAAATTATTAAAAATATAAGGAAACAATCAAAGCAAAATCAAAGTAATATTTTTACTTATAATTACAAAAACTTTTTATTGCCACACGCTTTCAACCTTTAGAACAAAACACAATATAATGATTCCGGGAGTTCAGATGAAGGTATTTTCGAATCTATGTGTATTAATTTCTTGAATTTTAGTTTCCGATCTCTGGTCACAACACTTTATATTAAGGTGTAGTATTGAATCAGAGTGAAAAGAGTACAATTGTCCCTTTTATTTTATCTGTAAAGTAAGGGACATAAAAGTTGTTTTTTTTTATAAACGTTTCGAGTGCTACCAAAGTTTCACTTGACATTATTGCAAATTAACTTCTTGAATATTCTAGAAACATGTGCAGAATCGACACCACAAATAGTCGAAAAGCCTAGAAGCACTCGAGTAAGTTTGAAAATGGAATAGGAATCTCGTTAATTATAAGGTTTTAAACTTTTGCCTAAAAGCATAATATGATAACATTATGATACATTATAACAATTTTGGATTTTGCAAGAAGGAGACCAAAAATTAGGAATCTGATTACATGTAGTAAATTTGTAAAATCAGTCTTGTTTATCTTAGGCTTCTGACATAGTTGGTAATATTACTTTCGAACAATAAGATAATTAATGAATTCTCAATAAAATTATTGGATGATAATCGGGAATGTAATTAAATTAATTAGTTAAAATTAAAACCGTACATGAAAATGCGTAATAAAAACAGTTCGCTTTGATTTAAGGTTGTAACAGCACATTTAGCTATAGCTATACAGCGACGTACAAATTTGGTTTCGCCAAAGGGTTCCTATTTAAAGGCTCTTAAGGGTTATTCTTCTCTACTTGGATAGAGCGTTTACTATACGAAAATTCAAATTGGGATTTAGATTCCGCCCGATTTCTATTAGACTATATTTTATAAATAACAAATGATCTAAGGTTATTTGCCTTTCAGAAGCATATTGTACCACAAAAAAATTAGTTTTTGAATTGCAAATAATTTTGTATGCATTTGTTAAGTATTTATTAATATAATGTACTGTGACTGTAGATTCTCTTATGAAATATAGGACCACTTCTGTACTCGGACCACTATAACTTGATACTTGCCTTTTCAAGTCAATTCTAGCTTGCAATAATAAAATAAATAAGTTAGATGGTAATAAATAGCAATAACTAAGAGGAAAATTGCATGAAATGCACAATAATTAATTTTAAGAAGTTTTTTTAAATACAATTGTAAAATTGACACGATAACTTAAATTACGCAAAACGTATTTTTTTTTCCAAATTATTCATAAAACCTTTTTCATTTTCATAATTAAACCTAGGGTAGTTTATTAAATTAATCTGAAAGTAGATATTACGTAAAAAGGGAGTGGCTTCGCGTAGCGCTCAAACGCAAATTTTTAAATTTCGGAGATGAATTTCATTAGATTACAGTTTTGTTTTAAATTATTCATTTATTCAATAAAAGAGTTCATTTAAAATTAATGAACCTTTCCATTTATATGAAATTCGTCTCAACATCATTAGAGATACAAAAGTGATACATGAATCTCTTAAAATTGTTGCCTATAGAGTACAATTTTAGTGTAGAAAGTCGCTCCTTATTCTTAGACATTAAGGCTTAAACATCTTCAGGCTACATTTTTTGTAGAATTAAGAATTATTATCAATTGTAAAGTCATGTACATTTTAGAAAACTTAGGGCTGAATTTATTTACTAAGCAGAAAACATTTATAAAATCCATCCTAGTCTATGATAGAATTAATTACATATTTATTTATTTTAAATTAGCTGACGATCACGTCGCTCAGCCTAAATTAGCCCTAGGTTTTCTATTTAGACAATCTTTCAAAGGAGCGACCTTTCTCTCTTTACTGTATCCGCATGTATCTTGCAATACTTTCGAATTACAATGCTGTATTTGCTAATTTTTATTCATTCCAAATTTTTTCTTCTTTTCCCTCTATCGCACTCGCTTGGAACGCACGCTTGGACTGCGGGCCTGCACACTAACAAACACACACTAATACATGGTGATGGTATGTATACTAACCTCTGATCCAAAAAAAAAAATGAACCCGACTAACCTGGTTTATGCATCGAATGAACCCGGATTACCATTCGAATAAATCCCAAATTTCTGGTTGAACCCTGCATCACCCTAATAATGAAACCTCCAGAATCCGGTGAGGAGCAAGATGTAATGGAATTAGTGCCTAATATAATCCTAAACCCTGGGTTCATGGAGACGGACCCAGTGCGAGAGAGGCCCCGGGAGAGCTACGCAGCGTCAATTATTAAGTCCACAGAATGCCCTGGCCCGGGGAAGCCGAGGCGAGTCTGATTCTCGTCTATACTGAACCTTAGGATATTCTATCGCACGGAATCGGGAATGTCATGATAAACTGCTTAACGTTATCGCGTTTTTCGTTATTTGTTATTACAGTACAAGTAACACACAATTATGAAAAGAAATTCAACGTGTTCAAAAACGCCAGTTTGTGAATGGACTCATCACCAGTGTCTCTATAATATACAATGACATATATTTTGTCGCTAGCGAGCGCGAAAAATATATTTTTTACACATAATTCTGGTACTTGTGCTACAGGCACGGTACAATTTATCTTACAAAATTGTCTATTATAAAAATAATTTACGCAGTCGCTCTGGCAAGAACTGTCACTGTGATAGAAGCAAAATAAATATAATGATAACTGACAAAAAAAAAATTCAACAAACCGATATGTAGTAAGCAGTATATCGTAACAAAATAAAATGTACTTCCAACAAACATTTTTATATGATATTCGAACATATGTTGTGAAATTACTAAACGAAGGGTAAAGGACATATCAAAGGTAACAAAGAAAGGTTTTACAATGGGAGAGTGTTAGAATATCCTTTGGTTTGAGGGTAGCTTTTGCGCTCGATTATGACTTTAGCAATAAGTATGTAACAAATTATATTCTCATGATGTTAATTCGTTGGAAGAGTTCTAGAGATTAAAAACATACTCAATGTAGAATTTTACAGTTTTGTCAATTTCAAGTACATTTAAAACGCTTCATATTTTACATTTTATTGCGACTCAAAATGAGCAACATATCAAAAATAACGACAGCTCGTCCTAATGTAGCTTGGTTAACTTGGGAATATAATTCGATACACTATGACTTAAACCTAAGCATTGAGAGAGAACATAGCTAGTGTAAACTTTGTAATTGTGTTGAGGTTGCCAATTGAAAAATACAATGATTACTGTGAACCCGAAAACGACAATAGTTTTGCATATTCAAAGCATCGAGTATTATTGTGCGAGTATTTTGAAATAAATGCATTTTTAAGCAACCTCAGCATCATGTTGTGTACTTTTGAATAATATTGCTTACCGTTCCAAAATTGTTAATGTTACTAGCTATAATGTAACTCTAATTATATATATATATTTTGCAATATTTAGATAATATTTTTGTATCAAGGTCTCGAATAATTAAGACATTGCCATTTTAGTTTGGATTGTGATTTTGTGCTGTGATTTCTTTCTTTTTAGTTTTGCTGTAATTAATTGTGTATATTACACTAATATACTGTAATTGTATATAATTATTTTTAATAATATCATTTGGAGACTGGTGCGAAGGTATAGTATTACAGTACATAATATGTAGGTTAGTTTTTAAGCTTTGAAAGGCGTGTTTACGCTGATTTAATTGCAAAACTGCTGTTAAAATTAGTACGAAGTTGTTAACGGTAAGAGGACAATATATGGTAGTGAATATTTTTAATAAAAAAATTTGATAATATTTGTAAGGCACTCGAAGGCAATGACGCAAAATTGGTTTAAATGAAAATGTAATTTGTCGTGTTGAAAATGTTATATATTAATATGCTAATCAAAAGATGTTAAACAAATTATGTCAAACGCCTTTCCCATTGTGCAAGGAGAAATATACTTAGAAATGAAACTATTTGTTCGGGATCTGAAATTGCGCATATTTGTCTTTAGAAACAAACGCAACATTTCGGGCTTTTTACAGGCCCCATGGTCACGGCTGTCAGGTAGTATCATTTCTAATGTATAACAATCGGGAAAATCTAAGAACTCGAGAAATATACTTACCACTTGACAGAAAAATAGTAATATAAATTTTAAAAAGAACTTGAAACTATACGGGACAAATTAATATTCCGAAATTCTAATATGACTTTAAAATCACGATGAAAAGGATAAATTTGAAAGTTAAACAATTTAATGATGTTGTTGAAGTTGTAGATTGGTTTATTTTTGTACGACGACGAACCATATCAGGGGAGCCTTAGGTAAAAGAGATATAATGAAATGTTAATCTTCCCTTTCAGTCTTACTATGACTTTTGTGTGTTTGGTATAATATTGTCGTAGGATTTCATATACGTGTTAACACTCTACACAACTACAGTAACTAACTATATTAGAAAGAGAAGTAGACTGTGTTTAACATAAAAAATATCAAAGCAAAAAAATATGAAACCCTCAACAAATAGATATACTAAACTCACAACAATCTTTGCTATCTGAAAGCGCATTGCCTTTATGTGTATTCACTACCAATTTCTATACGCTACAATCGTATATTCTACAGGCTTGCAACTGGTGTTTTTGTATAATGTGATGGTTACATTAATGTCCTCGTTACATTGTCTTAGTGCTTTGGTACGAAACCAAGAGCAAGTGCTTCTATTTGGTTTTGAAGAGTAGTCACTTAAGTGCTAAAATAATTCGGACATAATCCTCAAGAAAACCTAAATTCGCGAAAATTTCTTGTTTAAAAGAACACCATATAAAGTTTATTTTGCCATACGAGTATAAACCGACATAAAAAATGGAATCTTTCAAATATCCGGTTTGCGATAATAAATACTGGAATTAGTGGTAATACCAGCAGAGAAACAGTGCTGTAGACTGTGTAAATGTCTAATCAGCGCCTGTCAGCACAAAATCATTTCACAAAATTGACAGTTAAGATTTAAATTAAATTCTATGCCACTCGCAATAGGAACGATCTGAAGTCCAAAGCATCAAGCTTGATGTGCGCTTAACTGTAATAGGCTGAATGTAGTTTCTCTTTTTGTAAAGTCTTTGTTAATATATATTCTTTAAAAGTGGTAGTGGTATATAAAAACACCAGTTGCATCCGAAAGCAATAATTCCTATTCTGCGTTGTGCTTACTTAAATGTCGAATAAATATATATCTGCTATCATTTTACACTCTATAAATAGATTAACTAAATGTTATTACACTGTGTCCGTCTCGCAATGTGTAATGTGCTATTGTGTCAATTATAATGGAAATGAAATCGTATAAAATATATCGTACATAATTAATTTCAAATTTTCGTGATTATTAAAATGTATAATTTATTACACATTAATTTCATCTACTACAAGTAACGAAAATAATTTTGTCTTTATTTCTAAACGTCTAAAAACATTTAAAAATAGTCTTAATAGACAAAAATAAACGGTTGATTTTTTAAAAATGCGTCAATTAATTTTGTACGATTTCATCTCCAAACTTTCACTACTTCAATATTGTAACGTGCTTGCACTTTATAAACTTTAAGCACCTTAATTAAATATATCTAATTCTTATTAAATCTAATTAAGGCTGTATATTACGTTCGGGTTAGTAGATTTTGTGAACGATTAAAATTACTTTTTTTTTGTGCTGACAAAAGTTCCTAAACATATTTAAAACCGCTACCCGTGAAAAATAAAAATTTGGAAAAAGTTGAGAAACAAATTGCCTCTGCGATCCATACTCGCATGACTGACTTATGTAGCGATATTATTTTTATACACCTCCCAAAAATATGTCTATTTATAATCTGTAAATTTGTTATATAGAATGTCAATTATTATAAAAGCGAAATTACAATCGTTCATAAATTCTACGAGAACAAGTTTAACAACGATCAATGCACTACTGTAGTCTTCTTAAGCTCTTCCTTGATAAAAGCATATTTTTGTATTCCATTGAATTTTATTGAGGATTGTTAAAGAAATATATACGTATGATTAGCATTAATACCGACGAGACAGTCTTTCGAACTCAGACTAGGTCTTTACACATTTGTGGTTGGTGTGCGGGTTGTGCAGCTAAGAAAATTGCGTAGCCAGTGCAGTTACAACGCGGGGGTATCGTCTTGGGTATGTGCCGCGTGGCTTGCCCCGTACAAAACGCCTTCGCTTTTCCCATTTCCTCAAACCTCTATAATCAAAAGGTTAAGAAAATTATATTATTAAAGTTTGCACTCTCAATCCTGACAAGTATGGTAAAGGAATAGGAAACACAGCCGTGATCTACATCCCAAAACCTACAATGTAAAGCGCGCAACATCGTTGCTTAGCAAATCGCAAAGGTCGCAAATTCGGAACGGTGTGGTGCGTTCTGCGAGGCATTGCACAATGTACGCGCAAATTATTGAACTCATTTGTTGCGAATTTGTGCCCTAAGACATTCTGGACAAGCGTTCGGGAGAGCAAAAATATTCCTGCTGCCTACGTACCAGGAATGTTTGTAGCTCTTACAAATCCATGTTTCTATTGATGTTGTATTTACAGTATTAAAATAAGCAAAGCGTGTTCGTGCACGTTACTAGAAATAACGACATCCTAACCACAAGTAGGTAAAGGCTCTAGCTGGAGTCAAAAGATCTACGGTTGCCTTGTTTTTTAATTGAATATATAATAAAAGAAACCGGTCACTCTAAATTCCGTCATTAACTATAATTAGCTTTTGGCTATAGATAACTTTTCGAATCCCGTCCTGATATACCAATTAGGGTTTACAGGATTTCTTAGTTTACAAAGTGTCCTTAAGTGTAATTAATTTATATACTTCTGTAAATAATTATACCTGAAATGAAATGCTTCTGGTTGACCTCATAGCATTGACAATAGATAATTTCCACGTTCGACCTAAATTTTGATATCAACAAAAACTGTTCGAGACGCTTTGTAAACTGAATCTCTGGACAGGTACTAATAAAATGGCAGCTTGTAGTAAAGTGCAATATTGTAGAAGAATCGAGCCATGGTTATGCTCGTGACTGGTTAGTTGACGCTTCTTGTCGGAGTTACGTTGATGTACAAATATTCGATCAGTATACATTATTGAAACCACAGCCGTTATAAGAAAAATAAATTAATCCGTTACTTCCAGGTTCATTTATCTAAAATTAAAGGTTCATTTAAAAAACAGCTGAATTCTGTTAAATGAACATCTGCTTATTTTTAAATGAACCCTTTCGGTAATACAAACCGTATTGGTAAACAAATGCATTATTGAAAAATATATTGTAAGAAAACTTGAGCGTCAACGAAATCCATCTACCGATGTAATTAAGTGTTAGATAAGTAAGTAGTTCAACGCTAGCGTAGTTGTCCGGGCACATGTAGCACGAGAGTCAAGACTGGGGGGTGTGGGGTGCAGCTTCCCTTCACGACGCTATTCTTCGGGTATTCTCATGT